ACTCCCCAAAACTGTGGAATGGAGACAAAAAATATTTAGCCCAGCATTGCCCCAGATAGCAAGCCTAAAGTTATTCTTTTCTTTTTAGAGTCCAGCAAAAAGAAGAACCAAAGTCACTGAAAATAGGAACTTGTTTCCCAACAGGATGAATTCACTTGCCATCATCTCTGTCATGCTGAGCACTTTCATTGCAGAGATGGCAGCTTCGGTATGTTGTGCAACCCTGTAGTGATACAACTGATGACGGCTGGGGCTTATTTCCATTTTTGAGCATAAATATGAAGCTTCCGCTTTCACTCATGATCCAAACTTATTTTTAGCCTTTTTTTTCTCCCTGTTCTTGCTGTTTATTGCTTGTACACATAGCCCACCTTTTGTTTGGGGATACAGCAGTGAATTGGCATTTGTCATAACTGAGTAAACCTTTGTATAGCTTTATTCTAAAGCAGCAGATCTCCTAGTCATGTGTTACTCCTTTTTTTTTTTTTGACATTCTGCATTTCCCCCTCCAAATACTGGACTATTTCCTAGGTGTTTGATTCTTCTGGCCTTCTTGTAGAGCAGCTTAAATGACTTTTCACTGTCCTAGCTCTCTGTGACATAAGGGCAGGGATGTCCATAGGGTGTGGTCAAAAAAGTCACGTTGGTTGCTTCAATGGTTTGATTGAAGTTCTCCCCATACATCAAAACAAACAGAGCTCTGATCATACCATCACAGCTGACATCCTGACTTTTTTACCATATCCTTGGGACATCCCTGAAGGCAGCTGATCTAATTGTTGTGAGAACATAGCGGAATATTTTCATAATGAGGCATCATTGTAGATGCATTGTGGATACTGCCTACAGTTTTCTGCTATGTTTTTTTTTTTTTTTAATCCTCTAGGTGTTTTAGTGCTCATAACTACTTTTTCTTGTTGTTTTTGAGTTGAGAGCCATACCGGGCTTTTGTAAGGAGCTACATTTAATCAAATAAATACGTGTTTTAGTGCTCATAACTACTTTTTCTTGTTGTTTTTGAGTTGAGAGCCATACCGGGCTTTTGTAAGGAGCTACATTTAATCAAATAAATACTTGGGACATCCCTGAAGGCAGCTGATCTAATTGTTGTGAGAACATAGCGGAATATTTTCATAATGAGGCATCATTGTAGATGCATTGTGGATACTGCCTACAGTTTTCTGCTATGTTTTTTTTTTTTTT